GTGGCACTGTGGCTCAAGTGGTAGAGTGCTAGCCTTGAGCTGAAGAGCTGAGGGACAGCGCCCATGCCCAGAGTTCAGGCCCCACAACCGGACCCAAAAATAATAATAATAATTACCATTATTATTATTACTAATAAACTCTGTATTTCAGGGTTGGAAAGGTGGCTCAGTGGTAGAGTGCTTGTCTTGCATGCATGAGGCCCTGGTTTCAATTCCTCAGCACCACATAAGCAGAAAAAGCTGGAAGTGGAGCTGTGGCTCAAATGGTAGAGTGCTAGCCTTGAGCTGAAGAGCTGAGGGACAGAGCCTAAGCCCCACAATTGACCAAAAGACCCACAATTGACCAAGAGTTCAGGCCCCACAATTGACCAAAAAAAAAAAAAAATTCCAATAAACAGCCATTTAAACATATATTCAGTACACAACTTTCTAAAGTTGAAATACCACTGCCAAAATCAAGGGACCATAGCCAAAGACCTAAATAAAATCTTAACTATAGCTTAACAAGCTGGGCATGGTGGCTCATGTCTGTAATCCTAGGTACTCAGGGGGCAGAGATCAAGATCAGGGCCAGGCATGCAAAAAGTCTTTCAGATCCCCATCTGACCAAATAAGTTATATGCAATGATATACAGCTGTCATGCATGCATAAACACAAGATTCTAAGATCACTAAGATATATAGCCAGGTGCCTGTGGCTCATGTCTGTAATCCTGAGATCTGGAGGGCTGAAGGAAGCTAGTCTAGACAGAAAAGTTCTTGAGACTACACATCAAAAAAAAAAAAAAATCCGCAAAATGCTGGGCTGGAAGTATTATTCAAGTAGTAGAATGCCAGCCAATGAAGCAAGCATGGTAAATTCCAGTACCACCAAAAAAATAAGTAAAACCTACTATATCTAAACAAAGATACCAAATCAAAATCTTCTTTATAGCAAATGGAAATAATAGCATGAGTTTTTAACAACTTCAATTTGAAGTTTTCAATAGAAAAAAAATTATTTCAGTAAATACTTATGAAGTATCAATGTGTCAGGCATGTTCTAAGCAGAGGGTAAGGCAATGAGCCAATCAGTGATGAGTAAACAAAGAAGCAGATTTGCCAACATGCCAGAACACAAGAACTGAAACATAATTCTTTATCTCTGCATCTTGTAAAATGAGTATCATAGGCTTGATCATATACCTGTCAAAAAGTAAACTTACCAAGGAATTCTTAATCACTTCACTTCTATAAAATTCTGGAAAAGAAGAAAAAGAACAATAAGTGAAATGAAAGAAATTAAGCTCATTAACTCACTCGTAATCCTATAATTTCTGAACACATGACTTATTAAATCACTTACACACTGAAGAGTTCTATTCTCTTGGTTATCTTTATAAAATAAAATTTTAAAAGATTAAATAAAAGTTTTAAAGGGGAAAAAAATCAATAAAGGTTAAAATCTTTCTGATTTAATGATTGTTATCTAGTTGCATCCTTTTACCATATATTCTACTTTGAACCCTAAAAAACTCAAACTTTCTGCTTCCTTCCCTATTTCCACTTCATACAACTGATTCATCTGCTCTGTCTTTCCCAAAACATCTCTAATGAATATCCCTGTAACTCTGTGGAATAAACTCTGACTTAGTAACCCCATAACCTAAGCTCTCCACCCATCTTCAACATTCCATCTCTGTAATTTCTATAAGCCCATTTCTTCACTGGACAACTTACAAATTAGACTAATGATTGAAGGCTCTGTGTAAGCATTAACATCTCATGATTCAACAAACTTACATGTGTGTTGGTAAATGTTGCAAAACTCAAAGACAAAATTAAAATATATTAGAAGTTGCAACCAAGGATGGATCCCAACAACCATCCAACATTCCTTCTGCAAACTTTCCGACTTGCCTCCATGCCTTCCTGACAACTGCAGACCCCACAAACACTCCTACAGCCTCATGCTGTTGTAGGCTGACATTTCCTATGTGATGCATACATCACTGACACTGAGATGGATTCTCTTTTTTGGGGGGTGGGAGGTAAAAGGGGACAGAAGGAGAGCTGAGGAGCTAGGCCACCTGAGATGATTTGAGGTGATGTATGCACAAACCATTTTTCTAATATATTAAAATTTATGCCTCACATATTCCTCCCCTAATACCCATGAAGCCAGCAGTGTTTGTTCTGTATAAGTACTATTTTCTCAATCCCTAAAATAATCCACAAGTAGATAGATACTCCATATTTTATTGATTAAACAATTTCACACATTATACTTACATATAAATTTTTAAATAATGAACTTAGATTAAGAGCCAGTTGCCTATGACTCATACCTATAATTTTAGCTTTTCAGCTCAAGGCTAGTGCTCTACCACTTGAGCCACAGCCCCACTTCCAGTTTTCTGGTGGCTTATTGGAGATAAGAATCTCATGGATTTTCCTGCCGGGGCTGGCTTTGAACTGTGATCCTCAGATCTCAGCCTTGAGTAGCTAGGATTACAGACATGAGCCACCGACCCCCAGCTTTAAATTTTATAAATTTTTATTCTGTCAAGTTCAACAAATTCATTTGACAAGCAAATTTTCAAACAGTTATCGTCCAAGATCTATTTCTATACAAAAAGGGCCATCAGCTACAAATGCTCTCCAGATATCCCTGCAAAGACCTAAAGAAACACAGCAGTCAGGAGACTACAGCATACCAATGCAAGGGCACGTTTTGGCTTTTATGCTGAATTCCATTTGTTCAACAAATGTTTTAGTAGTGCCCAACCTCATTAAAAATAGAAGAAATGTAAGTTTCAACTATATAGTATAGTCATTTGTACCTATCAGATTGGCAAAACTTTAGTAGTTTGCAGTCTATTGACTAGGCTGTGGGGGAAAGGTACTCATATACAAATATCTTCCAACACAAAGGTTACATAATCTCTTTGTCCTAGTTTCCACATCACGGAACTTACCCTAAAAATATGCTAACTCCGATATGAAATAATGTAGTTGCAAAGTTATTTATGACGATGCTATGTGTGTAGTAAAAGACTAGAACAACCTAAATTCCCAGCAGAAATTGCCAATTAAACAAAGTGAGATACAACTATTCATAGACAGAAAAAAATTACACAGCCAGGCACCTGCAGCTCATGCCAATAATTCTAGCTACACAGGAGGCTAAGATCTAGGGATTATGGTTCAGAGCCAACCCAGATGGATAAATCTGTGAGAAATCTATCTCCAATTAACCAGCAAAAAAGCCAGAACTGGCCGAGCGCCAGTGGCTCACAACTATAATCCTAGCTACTCAGGAGGCTGAGATCTGAGAATCACAGTTCAAAGCCAGCCCAGGCAGGAAACTCTGTGAAACTCTTATCTCCAGTTCAAAAACCAGAACTGGCGCTGTGGCTCAAATGGTAGAGTGCTTCTTGACCTGAAGAGCTGAGGGATAGTGCCCAGGTCCAGAGTTCAAGCCCCATGACTGACAAAAAAAAAAAGAAACCAGAACTAGAAACATGGCTCAAGTGGTAGAGCACTCAGTTCAAGGACCACAATTCAAGTCCCAGTACTAGCAAAAAAACAAAAAAAGAAAAGAAAAGAAAAACTAGGGAGTCTCCCTAAGAACCAACTGTCAAAATTTGTAGAGTTCACAAGCTTTATAGACTATGATAATGACAATTTGCCTTGTAAAGGTAAAAATGTGTTTGTGATTTTAGCTTCCCACAACACTGTGAAATTTATATAATCACTTAATCTCAATAAAGAATTTTTTTAAAAAGAAATGAATAATACTGTACTGGTTATCATGATAGAGTGGAAACTAGATGATGGGACAAAGGTAAAAGGGAAGTTTCAATTTAAACCTTTTTTTTTGGGGGGGGGGGGTCATGGGGCTTGAAACTCTAGGCTTGGGTGCGGTCCCTGCATTCTTCAGCTCATGGAGAGTACTCTACCCCTTGAGCCACAGCACCACTTCCAGTTTTCTAGTGGTTAACTGGAGAAAAAAGTCTCACAGACTTTTCTGCCCGGACTGGCTTTAAACCGTGATCCTCAGATCTCAGCCTCCTGAGTAGCTAGTATTACAGGCGTAAGCCACCGGTGCCCACCCTTCAATTTAAACCTTTATATAAATATTGAACCATAGATCGCATTACCTATTCAAAAAAATTAAGAAGAACAATGTATTAAGGGCCTAGGATGTGGCAAGCACTGTTATAGGTATTAGACAGACAAAACAATGAGAAAAACTAATCTAATAACATCTCCCCTCAGGGGGCTGCCATTCAAGTGCAAAAAAATACATCTTAACCAAGTAACTAAACATACAGATGTCAGTGATCTTAAATATAGTGGAGAAAAAAATAAAGCACAGAAGAAACAAAGGGCTAATCAGTGGTGGAGGAGTTCTTCTGAGAAGCAGGCAGAGAAAAACATGCAAGAACATGGATGGGCTAGTGAGCCAGATGGCTATCTACAGGAAAGGGCTCAGGCCAAAGAAACAGCAAGTGCAGAGGCCCAAAATGAACAAAGCCTGGACAGGTAGGTCAGAGAGGCTGCAAGAAGGAGCTTGGGGGTGGCAGAAGATGAGTTCTGAGGGGTAACAAGTCAGACCATGACCTCAGAAACTAAGGATCTTGGCTTTTACTCCAAATGAGAGGGGAAGCCACTAGAAAGGATTAACAGGATCCCCACTGAGAGGATGCTGGGGCCTAAGGGGAAAAAGCTATTAGAATTTAGGCAGCAGAGGACAGAGGTTGGAGAAGTGATCAGATTATGGGCCTACTATGATAATGATGGACCAAAGGATTTGCTACATGATTGGATGTGGAATATAAAAGAAAATGAATAATCTAGGATAGTTTTAAAGTTTTTGGCCTAGAAAATGGAGTTGCCATTTTCTGGCAGAAGACAGCACCACAGGTAGATCAGAGCTAGAACACCAGAAAGTCAATTTTGAAAATATGGAGTAGATTGGGTGTAGATAGATGCAGTGTATAAAACTGGATATAAGAGTTCAAAGGAAAGGTCACAGAGATTTTGATATGAGACTTGGATGAGATCATAAATCTCCTAACTTGGAATATACAGAGTTCTCCCTTGAGTAGATCTAAGCTAGTCAGTATCCAGGAGAGAAGAGGCACTTAACATGTAATAGGTAAGAAAGTAACTACTCTGAAAAAGAATCTGATTTTACAAAAACTCCAAGTTTAAGAGGGAACCAGAATTAAAATCTAGTTCCCCATCCACTGACATGGGCTTTATTCTCTGAATAGAATAATTGATATTTAATATGAACTACTAAAAATATAGACAATCTCCTAAGGGCACTAAAAAGATGACTAGCCGGATGCTGGTGGCTCATACTTGCAATCCTAGCTATTCAATCCAGGGTTTTGTGAATGCTGGGCAAGCACTCTATCACTGAGCAATATCCTTGGCCTCTTTATAATCCATTTTAAATGCTAGCTCCTAGAATATTGGCAGCTAATATTCAAAAAGGACTAACAAACTTATCAACATAAAGCTTATAGTTAACTAAAAAAACTATCCACTAAACATATCTTTTTTTGTTCTTGGTGATACTGAGATTCGGGGTTTTGTGCTTGCTAGACAAATATTCTACCATTTGGGCCATGCCCCCAGTCCTTTTTCAGATAGGATCTTGCATTATCCGCAAGCCAGCTTCAGGCCATGATCCTCCGTAGCAATGTCTCCTACAATAGTCGAGATTATAGAAGTGAGCCATAATGCCCATCTGCAATGCTTCTTTAATATGTATACATATATATATATATATATATATGCTCAAAATATTTTCAGACAGCATGATAATTTAACTTTCCAATAAGCAATAATTGTGGAAGGCACTGGGAATCAATGTATTACAAAATAAAAACATGAAGGCTGAGCACAGTGGCTCACACCTGTAATTCCAGGTACTCAGGATTGAGATCAATCCAGGCAAAAAAAACCCTGAGATCCCCTCATCTCAACAAAAAAGCTAAGCATAGTGAAACATGACTAAAATCCCAGCTATGCTTACTGGACACTGTGTTGAAAATGAAGTGTAGTGGGGATGGGAAGGAAAAACTGAGAGAGAGCAAGGGAAAAGGTGACACTATCCAAAAAGAAATGTATTCTTATGCTGGGCGCTGGTGGCTCACACGTATAATCCTAGCTACTCAGGAGGCTGAGATCTGAGTATCATGGTTCAAAGCCAGCTCCGGCAGAAAAGTCTGTGAGACTCTTATCTCCAATTAGCCACCAGAAAACTGGAAGTGGTGCTGTGGCTCAAAGAGGTAGAGTACTCGCCTTGAGCTGAAGAGCTGAGGGACAGCACCCAGGCCCAAAATTCAAGCCCCACAACAAAAAGAAATGTATTCTTTACCTGACTTATATAACTGTAACCGCTCTGTACATCACCTTTATAATAATAATAATAATAATAAAAGAAACCCCAACTATGCAAGATACATAAGTAAAAGGATTATAGTTCAGCCTGGCCCAGGCAAAAAATCAAGACCTTATCTAAAAAAATGAAGCTAGAATGTGGTTCAAGTGGTAAAGTGCTTGCCTAGTAAGCAAGCACAAAGCCCTGTGTTCAAACTCTATCTGGTACCACCAGAGAAAATTTTTTAAAAAAGGAATAAACAAACATGAGATACAGCAATGAGTAGGTCCACAGAGGCCTTACCTTTGCATATTTTTTCACTGCTACACAGATGAAGTGTGAAGAAGGTGTCAAGTAGCTGATGGCCATTTTTATTAACAATGTTCCGGGCAGCAATGTTCCGAAGATGTCGAAGTCGCCGCTAAAAAATAATAACACAAAGATAGGGTAATTCAGGTTTTGCCTCTATAAAATGTTCTGAATGTTGCAGTTCCAAAATGAAACGTAACAGGTTGTCTAGATTGGTTTACTTATTGAGCAGACAACTATGACCCAGCCTATTAGTCATGCCTCAGTATCCCCTTCGTTAAACAGAAATTACCTCTGCCCTATCTCATGTAGAGTTGTTGTAAGTATGAAATGAATGACAACAGATGATATATTTTTGGAACACTATAAATGTAAGTGCAATACACCTGCAGAATATCCTTCCTATTTTCTAGCACATAAACTAAGCAATCACTTGCATTTTCCACAGAAACACTTGAGCAGACATGCAAAATCTATTGAATACAAATAGAAAATCAGCAGCTGCTGATTGTTGCAAGTTCAGTCTAGATAGTGGATCATTTGTACAACCAGGAGAACAGACCACAGCCAAAAAAACTAACAGCAGTTAACTCACCAGGACTCCATTCAGCCAGTACCACAACTATTGTATTTCAATTCTCATTTCCCCAGCACCAACTAGTCTCTATTTCCTAACAGCCTACTTCCTATCCATGTTTTATCTGGGGCCACAACTGGTGCTCCACAAGAAACACCAGAAATCAATAAAATTACAAAATGATAATTTTGGGGACAGTCATTTTTTTTTATCAGAAAGAAAAAATGTTAGCAATACTGAATTCTTCCACAACAGATTCATCCCCAAAAGCTAGTTCCCCTGGCTGGATAATTATCTTCAGACTTCAAGACAGAAACTTCATGCTGTTTTCAAATATGCTTCATGAAGGCCCCTGGGGCGGAAGGCAGTCCATCCCTACCCATCCATGCTCAGTTCCTCTCCAGCCAGACAGGAGGGCCCATGTACTTTCCTCCACACACACACACAACTGAATCCTTTCTCCCAACCTAGAGATTAACATTCTTTGACACAGAAGGTTATTGTCTAATAAATTTGTGTAATCTCCTAAGTATGAAAAGCTGCGATGTATTTATAAGGATTCCCTAGGCTCACTCTGAAAGACTCACTTTTCCACAATCAGCCCAGTTTCCATTTTCCACCTTGGATTACAAGTGTTTGCTACCACTGCTGCTGCTGCTGCTGCTGCTGCATACTTCTCCTTAGCCCTCTCAGTCAAAGTTATTTATCTACCTAGGTGTTTGCTTGTTTATGTTTTGAGATGAGGCCTCCAAAGGTCTCTAACTCAAGATCCTCCTACCTCAGCCTCCTAAGGATTATAGGTATACACCCAGCTTTTTTCAGTCAAAATTCTTAGCCTTGTAATGGCCGTTGGTGGCTTACAGTTACCTACTCTATTCATCTAGCACGAAGACTTGATGACCGTCTCTACCACTGTACTAGCAGCATTTATGACATACCCTGGGCATATTCTTGGCTAAACACTTCACACATGTCTTCATTTAATCCCCAGAAGAGATGTTAGCTACTGTCATAATTATTTTTTTTGTTTTTCTTGTTCTGTTTTGTTTTTTTGTTTTTGCAGTACTGGGGATTGAACTCAGGGCTTTGTGACTGCTAAGCAACTGTTCACCCACTTGAGCCACACTTCCCACTTATTATTTATTTCTTTACCTCAACATTTCTAAGAAACCAAATATAGACAAAGGAATCATGAATAATAAATGAAAGGGAATGTATCAAAAGAAGGAAGGAGAGCAGGCTCAGTAAAGCTAAGGGATTATACCTATATTGTACTTGTGGGTATGTATTTCCAGCTCCATATTATGTATGTCTGATATATAGCTTGGTCTTTAACCTCCTTTAAGCTACAGAGGACAAGACTATCAAGCAAAGAGCTATCTTCAACTCAACAAAATTATCTATCACAAATGCAATCATAATGGAACTGATTGCCTTTCAAAGCAATATGCAGGGCTTGGACAGAAACTGATTCTCTAATGGTTGTACAGCTGCTATGAAGATCTTTGTGTTGTGGAGGTAATGAGGACAACCACGTCCAGGGTACCTGCTCAGCCCAAGCTCTGCAATTCTCAGCTGAATGGAGAATAGACCACATCAGGGCATTTTATAAGAAGACTTGAGAAAACCAAAAACTCCTCTACAAATTAACCATCTGAACTCAAAACAGTGACTTTAGGGTATGACTATGAATTTTCCTTTGATTTATTTCAAGACAATTAGGGTGAGTATTCTCACTATATCATGATTAATTAACATAAAAGATCATATACAAGGTCATATGCATATGCATGCAAACAAATTGGCTAAAGTATGGTTTATACAGGAGTATTCTAATGGTGTAACTCTTTTGCTCAACTTACAGTTTAACAAAGTAAACATCAGAAGCTGAAACACAATTTGTAAGAGGGCAATGATTGATGGGGAGAGGGGACAGATAAGTGAACAGAGGAAGAATGAGTGAATGACATGCAGAATATTCAGTGTACATAAGGAAAATGGAACCTGGAAGCTTGAAGGGATGTGTAGGGTTGGAACAGATGGGAAAGAATGATGGAAGGGTAAACACTGACCAAGATGCACTGTACTATACACTGCCATGTTGAATTTAAACCCCTTTATGCAACTAATGGTAATTTTAAGTAGTTAATTAAAAATAAAATACAAGAATACAAGAGTACATTTTTGATAGCACATGCCTAAAATCCCAAGTACTGGAGAGACTAAGGCAGGCTGAAAGCAAATTCAAGGTCAGGATGGGCAACACAGTGAGACCCTGTCTGAAAAAAATTAATTTGTGGCGTAAAAGCAGCATCTAACAAAGCACTGCTTTTGATCTCTGAATAGAATTAAACATAAGGTCATTTCTTGAAATTTCCATCCATAAACAATTAAAACCAAATGGTCTAGGAAGTGCCACTGTGGCTCAAGCAGTAGAGTGCTCGCCTTGAGCTGAAGAGCGCAGGGACAGCACCCAAGCCCAGAGTTTAAGCCCCACGACCAACCAAAATTTAAAAAAAAACAAATGGTCTAAGGTTCTAAGCTGATACAAGAAACCATAAACATTCTGGAAATACTCTATTATTCCCAGCCATCTCCTCAGCCTTTCCCAAATGCTCTACTCCACTTCCAGTTACAAGATGCTGTGTGCCGGGCTGGACTGTGGCTTAGTGGTAGAGTGCTTGACTAGCATGTATGAAGCCCAGGGTTCAATTCCTCGGTTCCACATAAACAGAAAAAGACAGAAGTGGCGCTGTGGCTCAAATGGTGGAGTGCTAGTCTTGAACAAAAGAAGCTCAGCCCTGAGTTCAAGCCCCAGACTGGCAAAAAAAAAAAAGCTATGTGCCATATTACAGTGGTAGTTTCAGGCAGCTGGGTACACTTTAATGATATCCATTGCCAAAGATAAATAGGAGATTTCATATATTTTTTTTGGGTTCGGTCGTGGGGCCTGAACTCTGGGCCTGGGCGCTGTCCCACAGCTCTTCAGCTCAAGGCTAGTGCTTTACCACTTGAGCCACAGCGCCACTTCTGGCTTTTTTCTTTTTGCTTATGTGGTGCTGAGGAATCAAACCCAGGGCCTCAGGCATGCAAGGCAAGCGCTGTACCACTGAGCCACCTTCCCAGCCCCGAGATTTCATATTTTAAGTTGGAATAATTTTAAGTTGGGATACAATCTCTGAAACAATATCTATAAAACTTTCTATGTAAAGATTAAAAACATTCACTGACATATAAAGCTAAAACTTATTCATCCTTTGAATTTAGGGACTGACTTAGAGCACAACTCAATTACCTGACATGGTAACAGTAGGTAAAAGGGCACAGGACCCTAATTTCTTCATTTTTTTTTGTCAACCTTTAAAATGTAAATTCCAACATGAAATTTAAATGAAATGCATACACAATAAAACTGAAAAAAATAACAATTACTCAGTAAGAACCAGAGCTTCTAAAGAACTTAAAGTAGCCAGGCTTCAATGGCTCATGCTTGTAATCCTAGCTACTTGAGTCTGAGATCTGAGGATTGCTGTTCAAAGACTGCTGGGGCCAGAAAGACTATGCGACTCTTATCTCCAATTAACTACTAAAAACCTGAAAGTGGTGTTGTGGCTCAAAGTAATGGAGTACTACCCCTGAACTGAGCACAAAAAAGCTCAGGGCCAACACCCAGGCCCTCAGTTTAAGCCCCAGGACCACCACAAAAAAAAAAAAAAAAAGAACCTAACATAGCAGTTTATCTTGTTAATGTTACTAATTTTCTCAGAAAACTGCTTTACAGTTTAGTAGTGGTATACTGAAATTTGTGTGTATATGTGCGCACGCTCTTGTTTTGGCCTGCCCAGAATCTACTTTGGTTAAAAAAAATCAGTATTTTTTTTAAATCCTTAATAATTTCCTTTGTAGACCTACCAACTCTCACAATCAGACTTGTAGTTACCTGGACCTCCAGCCTCAGAAATGTAAATATGATTCAGAACGGGCCAATCAGCACGCCTAATTTTACTGATCATGTGATATGATTCAATGAGGGCCAATGAAAGGCCCAGAAATTATACTAAGCTGTTAGCAGTCCTCTAATTTGCCCCTCTGATCCTAAACATGACTAGAGATGATACTGGCAAACATCTGTCTTTTACTGTGAAACTGAGGTTGGACTCAATAAGAGCACAGTGAAGTCAAGACATGTGGGTTTCAGGTCCTGCTGACGCAATTTAAGTCTGGATCAAACCATACCTAAAATGAGCATTTTAATAAGAAATACCAGCCTCTCCTTGTAAAACTGTCCAAGAATATAACTATAGAGATTTAAGTATAACCGTTTATTAAGACCTTATCCAAGGCTAAGGATGTAGCTCACTGGTAAAATGCTTGCCAAGTGTGAGTAAGGATTATGGGCTCAATTCCCAGCACTGCAATAAATAAATAAATGTTTCATAGCAGATTAGTAGATAAAGAGTAGTATTTTTTGTTGTGGTTATTATTTTGTTTTGTGCTGATCCTGGAGCATGAACTCAGGGCTTGACCATTGTCTCTGAGCTT